CAGGGCCGTTTTTTTTTTTTTTCGCTCAGGCAACCCAATCTTAACTAGCAGCAGCAACTGATTTCCTGGCGCATAGTTGCGTCAATGTACGCATTTGAAAAGCGTGTACGTTTTGTCATTGAAACCATCTTCAAACAAACGCGATCGAGAGATAGGTAATCTAGAGTTAACCGAAAAAGCAGTTTTTATATTCGTTCAAGGGACTGGAAGATCGTCAATGGGAGATAGTGAGCGATCTGAGCGCGACAATAAGCCAATTTCCACACTAGTTCATGGGACTTCGTTACTATATTCGTCAGCCATCCGAGCAAGCATAGAAGCTTGGACTTTTTGTCCATGCTAGAAGGCAATTTTCATGTAGTCAGCAGGATATGGTTTGCTGGTTTGCGACAGGGGCGTAACCAGGCATACGCACGGATACACTGTGCGTATATAATTTTTTGGCCAACCATGATATTATTCTCTAAAAATCTAGTGTACTTTTCAAGGAATATTATCGAAAATCCCCTTCGATTATAAGTTAAAGTCACCTGAATGTACAAATTCTCTGTATAATTTATATATGCATCATTGTTCTGACACCCTTCTCGTTTGCTTTCACAGAACTGAGGTTAACAATACTAGTTACCATCTGAAGTCCAATCTTAATCGTCCATCTAGCTGGAACTTGCTTTACCTCTTAATTAGAGGGTAAAGTGCCCTTCAGCTCAAAGGTACACATGTAGCTTTTGTCTTGAGTGTATCGAACGCGATATTTATCTCAGATAAAAATCTACCTGTGTGTTATTTTCAAAGAGCTGCTCCAGCAGACCTGGGGGCACTAGATAAATCTGATCATCGGGTTAAACAAGGAGCCAGAGAAACAAAGGAAGATTGATTTTTCCTGCAAAGTTTCAAAGAATTTTGACACGGACTTGATCCAGCTTAACCCTCCAAACTAACGGGGTGGCATGGGCAATTTTTACAAAATTTACAAACAATTAAACTTAGATATATTACAATTTTATCCTTTAATATAATTTTGGGAGGCATGCACCCGCATGTAATCTGGGTGATGTCAGTAAGCCCTTAGTTAAATAAATATACCCTTATGAGCAAGGCTTTTCCCAGCGAACCGTCCAGCCGTCATTTGGACGGCCGCTGACATCACCGGACGACCTATATTTTCAAAGACGGCTAGACGGCTTGCGACTTTTTTTTAATGACGTCTTGGCTTGTCGGGACAGCCATGGACGTTGTAAGAAATTTTCTTAGAGTAATTTGACGTACCTTGCTTTTATGATCCGTCACAGATGAATGGTACTACTTTGTAGTGTACACTGATATTCAGTCACGACGAAACTACTTCCTAAAGCTTACAAAACACAATAAAATGTTTCT